CCACACTCAGGGGGCAGTGGGCGAGGTCTTCACAACAATAGGAGAAGAATCATCCACATTATTTCACGGTTAACTGGCCGCATGCTGCTTCGCCGGGGGAATTGTCTCCATATCATCAATGCTGACTGATAAGGCAGTCAAGCTGGTGGTTCCGTCTTTGTGACATAAGAAAGTATACACAGTGAGGCAGAATTCACTACAGTAGGTCCTCCATAGTTACATTTTGCTATCCACACAAGAACAAACAAACATGCTTGTCTTCAAATTCAAATTTTATTTGTCACATACCAATCATTCCCAGCATGACTTGCAGTGAAATGTTATTTCCGACATTCTGTGACATAAAACAAACGTAACAGGATTGGACAGGGTTAGATAATAATAATAATAAGAAGAAAAATATTTTTTGTGTCAATACTTCATCATTAGCAGGGCTTGGAATTCTTGCCCCCCCCCCACCCCCAGCAGTCTCTAGGTTGTAAACTGCTGACCCATGGAATATTTTCCTTTTGTCCATAAATTGTTTTCAAAAATCAAACTGTAAAAATCAGATTTTAATAAGTTCAGGTATAACACATGGACCTCCTTCGTAAAATAACCTATTACCTCTCTGGGGACTACAGAGAGATCTTCTTATTAGGAATGTCAATTAAACACTATTATCCGGCCCCTTCATTGAGGGCACACTTCCATTGTCCCTCCCCATGAGAATACGGAGCCATGAATGGGTGGCTAGTGTGGGAAAGCCCGGCAGGATCCTACTCACGCGTCCCCCTGTCAATACAGCGGACGCTGTCCTCAACAGAACCCAGCAATTATATAAACCTCAAGACTGCCTTGCGTCAGCTTAATTGTTGGCGACAGGGCAAAAGATCAGATTTTTTTTTTCTGTTCGAAAGTAGCCCTACCGAATGTTTTATAGAGCTAAATGCCGAAAACAGTTTTCAAACAAGTTCAGTTCCTTAAAGAACACTTAAACAGAAGGTATTATTAATCAAATATCATTTTGAATTGAGTTGCCCAACAATGTATTTTAAAAAGATGATGGCGAAATCTATAAAATAAGCTTGCAAAATGTGTCTTCATAAATTAAAATATCATCAGATATGACATCTTTTGGCAAATAATTTTTTTGAGTGATAGGCGTACTGCCAGTACCCGCAGTTTACACATCAGTTTGTATCTTCTGGGAAAAATACTGGGGACGTCGATTTATTGCTTTCAAGATATTTCAAGGCGTTTTATTCCGCCGGTCTTATCTGCCTCGTTTGTAGTCGCAGGTGCTGCACTTCTCACGTAATTGCGGGATGAAAGGTGGGAGGACCCTCGCCGCGCCCGTTCCCACACTCGTGCAGGAAGCGTGCCTCCATAAACGCCCTTGTTATTTTGATGTGTCATCGCTGGCTGTGTGGGAGCTCTCTTTTATTCTACTAAACCTACTCTAGGTGCTAGCTCTTGAGCAGTAATCATGGAGATAAAGTTACATCTAAAGTAATCGCACTTAAATGTCATGTAAATCTCGTAATTTTATGAAACTCTAATCCATATTCAGAGTTAATTGGAAAATGTGTAAGCCTAATTTACCTACCTTTTTTCCCCCCAGACACTGTACAAATCGATTGCACATTAGCGGCTACAAATTGTCTAAACCACTAGTAAAATGAGAATCGATAAACAGGGTGCAGCGCGTGCAGTGCGAACTCAGCGTGCGAATCTGTTGTCGTGTAAGTCACAGTAGAAGTGTACATGCAAAATCTTTGCCTACAGGTCAAGTTACGGATTTACAAATATGAATTCGCAGTTGCTATTCATTTTTATATACGATTACTTTTATTATGCATTTTGCAAAAGTGTTATATTCTAATGCTAGGCTATATCGATCAAACGTGCAAAATATCTTATGCATTAGAATGTCATAACGTTAAGATCCCGCTAAGATTGTTACTACTGAACATTAAGACAGCATCCCACCATCACTTGTTCGACTGCTGTCTCCTAAGGGTTTCTCAAAGTACGATTGCAGTTATATCAAAAGATTCACTAATTACAAAGAAGTCCCACAGAATTACGCTGAAGGGTGCAGATATCTTGGTGTTGCTTTTTCCACTTCCATGTCACTGTCACACGCGTCGACTTCAAAGGCATTTGTAAGACATCTAACTACAGGCTCGTGGCTGGTGTTAGTGTTTATACAGGAAAAAGTCGCAACGGAAGTCATAGCTAGTGCTTTTCACACCGATGATGCTACGATTGCATGAGATGCATCATTTGATATATGTATGGCATTTCGACGTCTTACACTTAATAATTTTTGTACTGTGTTTTCCCACTCAATGGGCCCTATTGTATTTTCCTTCAATTTACGTTACTGTTTCTAACTGTAGCATTTTAAGGTACGTATTTCTCTTCAGCTCATATGACTGTTATTCCACTTATTGTTTGCTGGGTAATAAATAGGCTTACTGCTTTGGTTAGTCGCCCGTTTATTATATATAAAGTCGCTGGTTTATTATATATAAGTTAATATAACACAATATGGATATATTACGACAATAATACTTGACAAGCTGGGACATGTAAATTACCTGGGGCCTTTGAGGTTTGGGGGCCCTCTGTTGGCTATAAACAGCCTTTTCACTAAGTATTAAATAAGCGCGTTCCCTGTGCGCGTTCCCATCTCCCCTGGAGATGCCCGGGTATCCGCAAACGAGCTCTGAGTTGTAGACCGCAAATTACGTTACAGGTCATCCGGAGGGAATAACGCAGTTCTACTCAAATCATTACAGCTCCATCAGTACGATTTTAAACTGACCTAGACGGTATTTACCATGGTTTTCCATCAGTAGCGTGAGACGCATAGCTGTCAAGTCTCCCGTTTTGGCCGGGAAACTACCGTATTTTACCCCTCTTTCCCGCCGTCCGCCCGGATTAGTATTTTCCCGTAAATCTCCCGTATTATAATATCATTTAAAAAAAATTCCTCTGCCTCTCCAAACTGAACTGTCAGTAGCCTCGCGAGAACTGCCACCTGCAGTAGTCTGCAGGTCATTTACAACATTAACCAGGTCATAAATGCGGAGGTTAAAATGGCAATGCTGTGTGCCAAAAACAACGTACCTTACTTTCACCTTCTGTGACGACTTCAACAAGGATACAAAGTCTGCAACAAATCTATAATAAGTCATTAGTGAATGCCAGAGAGCCACATGAGTGAACATGAGAAATTAAAAGAAAATGTGTAATGAAAATAAAATGATATTTTATTTTAGATTTCTTGTACACCTGTCTTAAAATGTAAGGGATACTGGAGCTTGGTTGGGGGGGTGGGATGGCTCGCGGTGGGTGCCGGAAAATTTCCCTTATTTTCAAATCCAAAACTTGACAGGTATGGTGAGACGGGATGGGGTGAGTATTACCATAGGTAAGCTCTCTGAGCGCCGCGTGGACTGCGACTGACTTAGGCGTGCTTAAAAAACCCAGATAAGCGCATATATATTAAAAAAGGTCGGTTTTGCTGGCACTCTTGAAATATTTTCAATGTGATATCATGAGACTATTAAAAATAATGGTTTTACTGCGCAGGTTTAAATATCAATCGCGAAACCAGAAAAAAAGATAGCCCTATCTATGAAAATGATGTTTACTCTGATCAGTGACGCACATAGTTCCAGTGTTTGCAGTTAGACTTATTTAACGCAGCAGTCTAATGTCAGAAAATCTAAGCATCTGTAAATGACCAGTGGTTCTTCGTGCACAGGCTAAACAAACAAATCAGCTTCCTCATAGAAATTTGAAGAGCTTTTTATTCAGAAACCAAATTTACCCTCCTGAACCCAGAACATCCAGGTGTGTGATTCTGAACACCGGCAGCGATTCCAAAGGGTTTCTGTGTGAGTGAGTTTTCCTCTGATTCCCACACTCTCTCCTTTCACTCATTTCAATGGAGTCACAATGGAAGTGTGTCCTGTTACACATCACATTAGTTATGGTGCTTGATCTCATTGTTGTGAAGCCCATTCTGCCAGCTGGACAAAAACCACGTGAAAGATCAGTTTCAGTGAAGTCACTGAGATTTGTGACAGAGTAATGTAGATCTCCACAGAAATATACAAAATCATGATAATGAGCAATATCTTTAAGATAGCAATAGCCAAAGAATACCTATCGAATGTAGCACATTTATCAGTTTGAGACTAACAATCAAATGTAGGAATTGCTGTTAGATGTATGGGTTGTTAAGCATAAATAAATGCAGGCTGTATCACTGGTGATTATTAGATATAATGCCATAAAATGTCTTGCTTTATGCAAGACAGATTGACATTTAGAAATTGAGAATTTTATAGAAAATGCAATTATACAAGTTTTTTTTTTTTTTTTTTAAATCATCAGAAATATGTGGTGTATTTCACATTTTTGTAAATTTGAAGTTGAACAAGGAAACAAAGGAGATTTATGAACTTTTAATTATTAATATGGGAAACAATTTGATTTACAAATACAACCATACAGGTTGAAGATATATGGATATTAAAATAGAACATTAACAGAAAGGAAATAGCTTCTTGTGCACATGAGATTCAAGAAAACAATTAACAAATTGAAATAATTAAAATCTTTCTCATATGAACATAGCCAGAATAGATATGCAATCGCATAAACACACAGACAAATATTCTTGCAATCATATAAACATAACTGGTTGATGACTGAGGTGGTCGTTTTAAAAAAGATTACAATATTACTTGAAAAAACACAAAGAAAAATTATAAGACCATTCTTATTGGTGGAATGATGCAGAACAACAGAAACATATAGATGAGTCATCTTATGGGATAAAACACCATTTACATTAAAGTGGCTAGATTAACAACTTTGCCAGTATTTAAATTCAATATTGCCAAAATGGCACACTAAATATTTGATTCAAATAAAGTAGTACAAAGAATCTCCTGCATATGCAGAAGAGGAAGAAACAACTTCCTACATTTTCAGAACAACTGTTCATCATAGATCAACATGTTCAGTTTTGTTTCAGTTCCAAGTGTTCATGTGTTCACCAAGGTCTCCAGAGGGCGCTGTTGACTGGTGTCTTCTTTTTGATAGTTGTGTATTGAGTTTGTGAACTCAGATGAGTCAATACATAGTCATTCCTGCTTTTATCAGAGAATGGCTGCATGTTTTGAAAGTGTCTTAGGAGTTTCGTCTGGGACTGTGTCGTCACATCTGCCCTTGACAGGAAACGCACAATCTCTTGGACACACCTGAAGAAGCCCTCATTTTCATCTGCTGAACAGGACGAGGTGATCTCTGGCTGGTGATGGCGTTGTCGTCTCAGGAAATTAACTGTCATTTCCAGGATGTCGGCTTTCTCCAGCTTGGAGTCGGGATGCTGGCTGAGAAACTCTTGGCTCAGGAGAGACTTGAGCTGCTCGATGCTGCTGTTGATGCGATCTCTGCGCATCTTCTCCACCATCGGCTTCCTCAGCTATAAAGACATAACAGGAAAGATATTAATGATCCAGGTCTGAAATGTCACATCAATGACGTTAAATAAGTATGCAGGGTATCTACAACAGAACTGGAATGTGAGTTTACCTTGTTGTCCAGAGTGAGATGCTCCTGAGAATAGATCACAGCTGCTGTGACTGTCGGTGCCATGGCTGTATCTCTGAGATGGGCAGCTCTCTGTGTAGCGTGAGTGTGATCAGTGCTGCTTCATGCCTCCTATTTATAGGCCCTGATCTACATATGAATGTGTGAGTCCTGGGCTTGTTGGAGTTTCTCACAGTCAGCAGCCAATGGATGAGCTGCAGGGGACAATGAGGAACGTGGAGCTGCCACATGCTCATTGAGGATCTTATTGCTGGAGGACAATGGTCACGTCTCAGGGGAACAGGTGGAGGGTGGAAGACTGAGGAGGGAGATGCACAGGCTGCTGTGTGAACCTGGGAAGGTGTTGACCTGTAATAAGAGCAGGTCTGTTGCCTGATGTTGTCAGTAGTAACTATAAGAAGTACAGTCATCAGTAGAATGAACACGTGTGTTTTTGACACATATTTTGTATCTAATCCCTTATGGATTAATTATTCTGCACAGTTTCACCTAAAGTCCCAAACTTCTCTAGAAAACTCATCTCTGTCCACAGAAATTCACCTGATCTGAAAGATTTTTCTGGAGGACTAAGTTGTTGATGGGATTAAATTAATTTTATCAGAAATGTTTTTGGACAGAATGTTTTACTTCCCACTTAGGATAGCAACGTAACACACATATACACCCATGTAAAAAATTAAGAGATCTCTCTATATTTTAAAACAAATCTGCATTTTTAAATCCTGGTTTAATCCTGGTTCTGCCTGCAGGAGGCAACACTGAGCAGCAGAATGCTTTCAGGTTCAACATTTCTAAGACAGCAGAACAGAAGAACCAGGTGAAGCAGGAGACACTGGGAATGGCCAGAAACCAGCCAGGTAGACGGCGAAAGCGACATTCTTAATGCCAGAGATTACTGTCAACTTATCTGACAGTTTCTCATAAATTGGAGGATGAATCAAATGACCTTCAAAAGGAATGGGAAACATTAAGTGCAGGTGTGAAGTGCACTGCTAGGGCAGTTCATATCAGGCTTCTAGAAGCAGGACTGAAGTCCCATAAAGCAAGGAAGAAGCCCTTCATTAATGAGAAACAGGGAACAACCAGGCTGCAGTTTGCAAAAAATAAAATATATTATTCACAGATGCTCACCCATTCATTGAGAAAAGAGTGAAACACAAAATTGTGCTGTGGTCTCTTAATTTTTCCTATGGCTGTATATATGAAGGATCTACACTCCTTGTGAGTGAATATTAAATGTCTGCAAAATGTTCTTTCAATGACTTACTGAGAAACTAAAAACATTTCATTAAGTAAAGTTTTCTTCAGTGTACCTTAAATAAATTTTATGTTTTGTTAAAGACCACAGGGAGGTATTTAAGGAAAAAAATATATCTGTAATTCTGACTTTTTCACTAGTGACTTAAAATGTGATAATACAATATGACGCATGTCCTCTTAACAGAAAGCTAACATCACCAGTGGAGTCCTGAAGATTGGTTCAGTCATGCGGATGATGGTCGTTGTGAGTTGAGAGCTGACCTGAGTTTCCCCACACCGAGTGCTCTGCTATCAATACCCTACAAAGCTGTTCAGTAAATTGAATAGACTTAACGGGACACTATGAGCTCAGTGTTGTAGGCAGTGAATGACGTCATCATCCATTTGGAGGGAAAATGGAGTTCAGCTCAAAACAGTTCCACCTGTACAATAATAATGCCGCACTCTTTGACTTAAATAGTGCAAGACAATCAGTCATGTTTGATTTCTATTCGATCTGTTAAAGACAGGTTTAAAGATTTTTAAAAAATCTATTTCCTCATAATGAGAATACATCGGAATGCCTGGTGTATATGTAAACCAATCACTGTTACCTAAAAATGAAAAACAGTTTTACAAAAGGCCTAGTTATTATTGTATTTTGTTACATGGCACTGTTGAATTCTTAAGCAGGAGGGTGTGGATTAATATTCTGTAACCACAGACATAGTGCCAGCCAGGTGAATCGCAGTAGAAAAATCATTACACTCTTATAATCTTTAGCACTAATTAACATTACTTAAAATTCCAGACTTAGAACACAATTTCAAATTAATGTAAACATAATGGAAATGTTTATTACATTGACGTAAGAAATCAGTCATACTAAAAAATGTGTTTTTGGCTTGAAAAAGTGAAAATAATGTCAAAATGTGAAGTAACCGTGGTTCAAGTGGATTTATGCCCTATAAGACATGCATGATACGTTTTTAAAAGCACTACGCAAAGGGAACCCTGAACTTTTTGGAGTTTCTCACAGTCCACAGCCAATGGATGAGCTACAGGAGACAATGAGGAACGTGGAGCTGCCACATGCTCATTGAGGATCTTATTGCTGGAGGACAATGGTCACGTCTCAGGGGAACAGGTGGAGGGTGGAAG